CACATGAATGCTATTCGTGGCTGACCAAGAGGTGACCCGTCCACCCTGCTCTGGAGGGGCCGGGAGCTTGAAGCCCAGGCCAGCTGGGCACAGGGCGTACGGCCTTGGGCTGCGGGACAGAGAGAGACTTCAGCACAAGCAGGGTCCCTTCGGCCCGCTGCCTAGCCCTTCCAGGGACAAACACAAACCCACTGCAGACGCTGTCCAGCTGTCTTCCCTGGCTCGCCCACCACTGCAGGCGGAGGATCAGCAAGACAAACATCCAAGCCAGCCGCACGGCACGGTGAGACCCTCCCGGTCAGGGGCCACGGCCCACCCCACCGGGCACACCTGCTCCGGGCAGGGCCCAGGGCTGCAGGGCGGCGGCGGCCAGGCCAGCGGGCGGCCAGTCGTCCCTGAGTTCACTCTGTGGCAGGTGCGCCTCTGGGCACCCACTGCGCTCTGTCTGAGGCCTGCCAGCCTGGCATGACTCTCCCCGCCTTCTGGGGGCAAATGGAAGCACAGGTGGTAAGGAGATCTGCCCAACATGATGCTGGCTGTCCAAGGCGGAGCCTGGACGTGAGCCTGGACGTCCCGTGGCGGGTCCTCCACCGTGTGTCGCTCCACGCCACTCCCTCTGGCAGACGCCAAATTGTCGAGGATTTCCTAATGCTGGTGCGGTGTAAACTAGTACGAGCACAAAAACTTCTCTCTTGTTTTCAGATTCACTTCACCTGGAAGACAGGTGTGCCCTACAAAGAGAGGAACTTCTACGTGGACACTTTGTGACCAATCTAAGCTGTAGAGAACCTCTCTGTCACGTGCTGCTGGAGTGCCCTCGCCTCTCAACACACCAGCGCCTGTTGCGTGGGGCGACCCCATGCCTGGCTGCTCACGGGTCTTCTTTGAACCCCAGCCTCCGCCACATGCCAAGCCCCCAGGCAGTTACTTGGTTTTTCCTTGAGGCAGCGTGTCCCGCCAAATGCGAGAGGACAAGATCTCAGCACCCAAGAAGCGTGGCACAGGGGGCAGAGCAAGGAAGGGAGGCGCAGGCCCCGCTGGCGGCAGACACCGCCCTGGACGTCTTCCACGTATTGACTCTTCACTACTTACAATGCCCTTCACAGGTTAGTGTCGCCCATTTTACGGGGACCAAACCTAGCCCTGGGGCGTTAAGGAGGTCACCTGGCCAGAGGTACACCAGACGCGACGCCTGTGGACCTGGGGTGCCCCTCAGAAGGATGACAGATGCGCAGGAAGTTTTCCATCTTGTGTTTCCTGTTGTTACTTGGTTTGCTCCAGGTAGTATAGAAATATTTTAGAAAGTATGACATTAATTTAGAGTTATTCCCGTGTCATTAACACGGACAGGCACCCTTTCTAAGCCCTTGTTTGCGGCGTGCTATGTGGGACACACGTAGGGCGCGACGCCCGTGCATCGAGGCGCATCACAGGCGGCCAGAGCAGCCGCTGCAGCACGGGACACCCCAAGAGGAGCAACGTGTCACCGCTACCCGTGACTCCGACTGCACCCCGGCCACCGGGAAACCATGCCTTTCGTCTGCCTCCCAGCCTCTGCCAGGAGAGCTCCCACACCTGTCTTCCAGCCGCTTAGCCGCGCGGCCCGCCTGGCCTGGCGGAACTCGGTGCCCGCTCCGTGGCACACAGAGGCCCGTTGTCGCTGTCAGCGAATGCCCGGGCCGCTCCCTCTGCCCCGCCCCCTCCCAGAGGTGGCCCGCCGAACCCCCGAGCTTCAGGATCCTTCTCCAGCCAACCTCGCGTGCCTGGTGATTTTGTTCTCTCGATGTGAAAACGTGCAGATGTATCTGCACTAAGAAATTGGATTAAAAAAGCAAAAGCCGTCCCCGGCCTGCGCAGACCGCAGGCCACCGGCCCGGACGAGCGCCTGCAGAGCTGCCCGCAGCCGTCTCCGCTCTCCCCTCCCTGGACTTCCTGCTTCCTTCTACTGTGGCTTCCATCCCTATTAGTCACTGAAAGGGCTCTGGGCAATGGCACCAAAGGTCTCCAGGGCGCAGAGGTCATTTCCAGTGTTGACTCGCCCCGCCAGCACGCAGCGTCCCACGCTGCGGTCCCCCATGCGCCCTGCGTCCCCGGGCCATCCGCGGAGCCCCCTTTCCCCCCGCGTCCTCCTCCGGCTGATCCCGTAGGTGACAGCGGCTCAGGGACCCCGTCGGAGCGCCGCGGCCGCCTGGATGCGGGACGAGCAGTCACGCTGTGCCCCTCCACGCGTTGTCTCCGAGCACCGCTGTTCTCAGAACAGCTCCTGGGCCACAGCCGCCCTGGACTGTCCCCTCCAAGAGGAGGTGGGCCAGGGTCTGCCTGTCCGGCCTGAGTGCCTGGCCCCACACGGCCGTTCCACAGGCAGACGGGGCAGCCTCGGCCGCACAGGACAGGGTACCTGCCCAGACTCTGTCCTTCGGGGCCGGGACGGGGACGGCCAGGCCCCTGCCGCGCGTGTGGGAGGCAGAGAAAGGCCAGCAGGGCCGGCCGGCAGGGCCAGCCGGCGGCTGTGCGGTGCTGCCGCGGCCCCGGGCTGTGGAGGCGCGGTCCCCAGGCTCCCAGCGCCCCCCCTGGGGTCCAGGGGGCTCCCGCCTGCCTCGCCACGGCCTGCCGCCTCGTCACAAACCCCATCACTCGAGGCAGGTGAGTGGTGTCACTTTCTTGCAGCTAACGAAGAGCCTAACTAAACCAGGAGCTCCTCGCGGGGCAGAAACCGCCAAAGAAGCCCTTTTTCGTGAGTAAGGTGAAAAGCCTGAAGTAAGAGAAATGAAAACATCAGGCGCCTTACGTAATCTCCCCCCCAAAACATCAAGATCTCCTTTGAGGAGATCAGTCGTGTCCTGGAGTGACTCCCAAGAGCGGCGCCAAGGGCAGCAGACTCCCCCCTGGAGATCAGGACCGTGGCTCGCCGAAGACCACCAGCCGCCGCCCCACAGCTCCACGGGGGCTCGCTGGCCCACTACCGCTCTGATCAGGAACACTAACGTACTTTGCTGCGCTTTCTAAAAAGTGTCCTATATGGAGAAATATACCTGTATGTATAAACTAGTTAATTTTCTTTTCAAATTATAACTTAATTAGGGCTTTACGAGACATTAAATGTTAAACGTAAAATCAATGTTTAAAGCCTCATTTATGATGTCCAAACGTAGCCAGATCCCCGAAGGCAAAACATTCCAATGCCTCCGACTTATGACTAGATTATTAAACAACAACGCGACATTAACCCAGCGCTTTCCAGCTCGAACCCAGGCAACACCGACTGCTTCCCTAAATCCTTTCACGGCGCTTGGGGATGAGGAGCGCAGTGTGCCTTCCAGACAGAGCGAAGGCTCAGCGGACCCCTGGGCGCAGCCAGGTCGGTGCCTGTGGTGACTGGCCAGGGACCATGTCATTTTATGGGCAGTTTAGCCTAAAGAGGCTCTTTCGAGATCTCTACGCTAGATTTTTAGAGTTTTCTTTAAATTGTGAACATTAAAGCAAACAGTGTAAGAAAACGTCAACATGCGGCAGACTCCATCAGCCAAGAGAGGCGAGACTAGCCAGCCTGGTTTTCCTGGGGGGCAGCGGAGTGCGGTGGAAAGGACGCACCCCTCCAACTGCGGACTTGGGTTCGAACACTGTCTCTGCTAGTTACCAGCCAACAGTGAGACGCCGTCCGCCTCCCTGGGCCTGGCGTCCGCCTTGACAAATGGGGGCTGATGATGATGTGGTGTTGAGAAAATTAAGTAAAGCAAATTGCTTCCCGATGATGCTAATACTTAACAGGCACTCACGACTGCATTCATTAATCGCAGTGAATTATTTGGTGAAAGTTTGGATATTGCAAAATGGGGGTCAAAACACATTTCTATAAAAGTCAGAGTCTGTGTTTTTTTGTTTGTTTGTTTGTTTGTTTTTGCTTTTCTATCACTTTGAATGAAGAATAAAAAAATAACAATATGGACCGCAAAATTCCATGACCTGCCAGGAGACGCAAGTACCACGTGACCTTATCCAATAATGCAATAACTTTCCATCAGGTCAGAAGAGGCTTTTGTCATAGAAAGAAACAACAGGACACATCCAATGCATGAAAATTATATCTAAACAACCCCTCAATGTACACACTGACGTCGACGCTCCCGGACAAGCATGAGCGACGTGTGCGTGGCGCCCAAGCCCTCCTGCCTCCCGCGCCTGCACTTGCGACTTCCTGTGTACAGTGAAGCCTGGCTCACTAACGCCCTGCTCGGCAGAGACAAGCGTGAGCTGGGCGCGCCAGGGGGCCACCTGCTGATCTCTTCCCTGGCCCGACACCTGTGGGTTGTCACTGGCCAGATTCGTACTTAGGAGTCCCACTCAAAATCAATGCAGGTTTATAAAACTTGTAACAAACACCTTTTGTATCTAAGGGAAAGGTATAATCAAAAGAGCCATATTAATATAAATAGAAAAAGATGAGGTTCTCATTTACAGGTATATTCCCAGTACACAATGGGTTTCTCTCTTATTCGTTAAATGAGGAAAGCAGAGGAACGAATGAAGTGAACTGAGACTCGCTGAATGACGTGTTCATTAGGGCAGGCAATTTGCAGAGAGGAACGTGTCCCTGGAATGGCAGAAAAGACGCCGCAGGACAGCGTCTGGGGACTGAGACAGGGACACACGGGCTCCCGTGGGGCCGCGGTGCGGACACAGGAGGCATTAGGGGTCGGACCACCTGGCTGATGGGAGTTGCCTGCGCTCGTCTAGAATGAAAGCGGGGAGTTCGGACGGAGTACAGCGGCCGCAGAATGTCTGCGTCTCACTTTGAGATTCAAATCAATGGGCCCAGCTGGCTGACCGAGGCACCAGCCAGGGGGCTCTGCGCGCTGCCTGCAGCCGGACGAAAGCGCGCGCCAGGAGCCGCAGTGCAGAGAGAGTGCGCTCCATTCGCCGAGTGAACAACGGTTTTAAAAATAAAAATAAAAAAGAAAGGCCCAGAACCCCTCCGCCGCGTCTGCGGGGCGTTCACTCACAGTGTGGCTCATAGGGAGGAGGCGGGTCTCCACAAGGTACGCACTCCATGTCTTGAAAACCGACAAGTTTTGTCTTCCTATAAAATCTAGGAGAAAAAGGAAAATGATCCTTGTTAGCTCATTCACTTACGCTCACAGTACGGTTGCAGTGCATATGATTACAGAAATTACTGCCAGTCTCCTTGACCAGATCTATTATTTTTTTTTAAAAAAAGGTTCTCAAAGCCTTAACCCTGGCAGCCCCTGAGGCAGGCAGCCCCGGAAAGCCCTCATCAAGTAAATATAAATTGCAATGAAAATATAACATTTTCACTTAGAAAATTGAGAAAATATATACATGAGTGGTATATATTGCCAGTGGGAATGTGCAATACCACTTGGAGGAGGGCAATTTAGCAACGTGTCATCAGAACGCAATAGTGTATTTACACCCTTCACCCAATAATTTCATTTTTTGAAATGTATCCTAAAGAAATAATCAGGCAGGTGGAACTACGTATAAGAATGCAATCACAGTATTGTTTATAAAAGAAAACCAGCCAGTCAGGCACAATCTCAATATCCAACAGGAGATACAACCAACTTCAGCAGGACCAAGGCAAAGAACAGAAGGTGGAATTTAGAAACAATGATGCAGATCTATTACGCATGATTTTTTTTTAACTCATAAAATATCATTGGGTGAAAAAGAAAATGTGTGAATGACATAATTCCATTTTGTACAAATAGACTTTGATACAGAGTCTTTCAGACTATTTACCAGTGCAGCTAAAGACATTTCTATATATATATGCACTGAAAAAAATAGAAAAATATTATATGGCAAATATTAAAGTGATTATTTCTGATGGTGAGAATTCAGGCAATTTTCTTTCATTTGGAAAACTTCCAACTTCTTTTCTATGACAAAAATAGTGATATAGAGCATGAATTTACAAATCTAGCCTGTAGAGGACAAGTAGATGCAATTATTTTGTGAAACTGGATAATGTAGTAACAAATGTGTATAATTTATGATTGAAGCAAAATTTGCATTTGAAACTAGATAAGTTACCTCAAATACCCATGATTGTAATACAATGAGTTTCCACCAAATTTTAATTGAAGATATTTATCTTGGAATTTATAAAGTCAAAATCAAAGGATGATGTTGGAGTATACACATTTCATGATATCAAAATATTAGGAAGCTCTCGTAAATCAATGCAATGTGGTACTGGCATAAAGAGACACATGGAAACCAAGGAACAGAACAGAGCATCTAGAAACAAACCCTCGTGGGTATGGTCAAACGGTTTTCCACCAGGAAGCAAAGACCGCCTAATGGGGATAGGACATCCTCGTCAACAGGCAGTGCTGGGAAAACTAGCTATCCACATGCAAAAGCACGAATTTGGCTCCTTATCTTACACCATATACAAGAGTTAATGCAAAACAGATTAAATGAAAGACCCAAAACTATAAAATTCCTGGAAGAAATCATAGGAGAAAAACTTAATGACATTGAATTTGGCAATAGCTTCTTGGATATGACACCAATAGGCAATCAAAAGGCATATATGAAACACACAGAAGAGAGAAAGAAAGGAAGAAAGAAAGAAAGAAAAAGAAAAAGAGAGAGAAGAAAGGGAAGGGAAGGAAGGGGAGGGGAGGGTGGAGAGACAAGCTGGAGCCCATCAGAGCTGACGCCCAGGGCCTCAGCACGCGCCCTGCGTGCACACTTACACCCAGGCTCCCTGAGCTGTGCACATTGCATATGAACGGCTTTCACACGTCACCCCTACCTTACTAAAGGTGTTCAAAAATTAAGTCCTGCTAAAAAGTAGTTTTAAATCACAATAAAGTAATGATTCCTTCTGGGATTAAAAATAAAAGATAACAATCAACATGAAGGGCAACCTGCAATAAGGGAAGAAGTATTTGCAAATCACATTCCAAGCTGGATGAGCCCTTCTCAAACACTCTGGAAAATCTGAGTAAAAATCACCATACAATTCTTGCCTGCCTCATACGCATGTGCACGCTGGCTTAGAAAGGATGTAATTTTAAAGTAGTCATATAAACAAACTATTAAACATCATTCAGATGTTTACACCTAACTTGCCTGCATCTAAGCCTTTATTCAAAGATGAAGCACAAGCTGTAGAAACTAAAGTGTGGGTTCAGGTGACAACGGACGGGCTGAGCGCGGGGAAGCACGTTTGGCAGGCGCTCCCGGGGAGACGGGGCCCTCCTCACACCCCGGCAGCACCCTCCTGGGCTCCTTCTTCGTGAAAGCCTCGTCCTTGGGGCCTGTGCTATCCCCACCCTCTCTGGGCACTGCCCGCCTCAGCCCTGTCCCTTAAGTCAGGCCTAAGGTGGGCATGACCTCCCGCGGGTCCCCCTTCTCCTCGCCCCTCAGATGAAGAGAGCAGACGTGCACAGACGTGCTTTTGTCAAAACTGGACAACAGCAACAACAAGACTGTGTCAGACGTTTACTGCGTGTTCCTCAAATAGACTGGCAAAGGTCGAAACTCGGGGTAATGATATTCACAGCTATGGAGGTCTTCTGAGATTTAGATCATTACTTTTTAATTAAATAACAGATGTACTAGAATATAATTTACAAACTACACAATGCGTTCATTTAAAGTATACAAGTACATGGTCTTTACACACTCACAGATCCGTGCAGTCATCAGTACAATCGATTTTAGAACATTTTCATCATACCAAGAAATGAGCTCTGTGTCCCCCGTCCTTTCGACCCTCCGCCGCCGCCGCCGGCCCTAGACAACCACTAACTTACTGTCTTTATAAATTTGCCCGTTCTGGGTATTTCATGCAATGGGATCATATTAATAGATAGTCTTTGGGGAGTGGCTTCTTTCACTTAATGTTTCCTAGGTTCATCCATGTTGTAGCATGTGTCAGTAAGTCATTCCTTTGCATTGCTGAATAACATTCCAGTGACTGAATACACTCCATTTTGCTTATCTATTCATCACTTGATGGACTTGTGGGTTGTTTCTACTTTTGACTATTATGTATAAAGCTGCCATGAACATTGGTTGATGTGTTTTCAAAGACCTTGGTTATGTATCTAAGAGCAGAATTGCTGGATCTCGTGGGAACAATGTTTAACTTGCTGAGGAGCTGCCAGACATCACAAAGACGCTGCACCACTTTGCATTCCCTCCGAGGCGAACATTCCCAGGTTCCCTGCATCCTCACCAGCACTTGCTTTTGTTCATCTTTTCTGGTAACAGCCATCCTTGCGGGGATGTGGCATACAGTTTCAGTTTGCATTTCCCTGGCGGCTAATAGTGTGGAGCATTTTTTCATGTGCTTATTGAGTGTTTGTGTATCTCCTTTGGAGAAATATCCAATCAAGTCCTTCGGCCATATTTTAATCTGGTTCTTTGCCTTTTTATTACTGAGTTGTAAGCGTTCTTTATATATTCCAGATAAGACAGCCCCTTATCATGGACATGACTTACAAATAATTTCTCTAATTCTGTGGGTTGCCTTTTCATTTTCTTCGCTGTACCCTTTGAAGCCCAAAATATCTTAATTGCATGAAGTCCAATGTAGCTACTTTCCATTCGGTTGCTTATGCTTCGGGTGCCAGACAAGGACGCATTGCGCCTGTTTCCGTGCTGAGTCGGAGCCTGGGGGCCACGCTTGACCTCCAGGCTCCTTCCCATCCTGCTTTGGCCTTTTGGGTCCAGGCTTTCTCTCCCCCTCTGACCTCAGCAAGAGTCCCAGAAGGATCCTGTGCCATTCGGTCAAAACGCCCCAGTCTTGTGGGCACTCGGGCCGGTCCAGCCCGGTGGCAGTTCCTGCTCCGCAGGGACTTAGAGCGCGGGCCGTGGTGGGCTCCCGCCTGTGGCCCCACGCCCGCCACACCCTGCCTCAGTGATCCTGCCCGAAAACCTGCAACCTGGGTCAGACTCTCTTTCTTCATTTTTAAGGCACTGGGAACATTACAGAATATAACTCATGTAAAGTACCCGGCCAAGTGCCTGGCACATTATAAATAATAGCTGTTTGCTGCTCCTGGCTGCTATTCCTGGTTATTTTACTTCTGCAACAAAGCCTGCCTTCCAGGGCTCCAGGCGTCCTGGCTCCCCTCCGCTCTGTCTCCGGTCGGTACGGGGGACCACGCCGTGCGCCCGTGAAGGCCCCCAATGTCCTGCTCGGCCTCCTCCGCCTCCCTCGGGCAGCAACGCCTCTCGCTGCCCCGCACGCACCAGCAGTGCCGCCCCGAGCCCGCTCTGCCCACGGGGCCTGGCCCTGGCGGCTTGTTTCACCGACCCATCTCTCCACTGCGCACCTGCCCAGGGGCAGGCCGGCCTCTCACATCCCTCGGTCCGGGCTCTGCCTCTCCACCCGGCCCAGGGACAGGGCCTCCCTTGCGAGGCCCGGGGCCCTGTTCAACGCCCACCGTGAAGGTCTCCGCCTTTCGCACGCACCCGCTCCCATCCAGCCTCTTCGTTCCCGCTGGACTCTCCCCTTCTCCTGGGGCTGCCCTGGCCTCCTGGCAGCTTCCCGAAAAGCGCCAGGGGCGCGCCCAGCCGCGGGCCAGTCTGCGGCCGCGCGCTGTGTCTGCAGCGCTCTTCCCCGCGCGCCCGGCTCGGGCAGCGGCCTCCCCTCTGCAAGTCTCTGCTCGGCCGCGCCCCGCCCCGAGCGCTGCCTCCGCTTTGGCGCTGCAGCCCGCCTGTCTGCGCCCCTGCGCTGCGCTGGGGTCTCCTGTTTTCCATAGGGATCGCCATCTTCTGCCTTTCTAGGCAATTTACTTCTTTACTATTTACCGTCTAGATATCCTTAAAAGCCTAATTAGGATAGAAGCTCCGTGGGAGCAGGGACCTCTGCTCCTGGCCTGAGCAGTGTCCGGCTTCACCTGAGGCCCTGCCTCCGGCTGCTGGACACGTACCCATTGAAACGGCTGAATAACCACGCTTTGCATCTCTCTGATCCCCAGCAAGGACGAACCATATGATCACGGGCCACATGTGTTTCCCTTTTGTCCGTTTGTCCGCGTTTTTCTTACTGATTTATAGCAGCACTTTAGAATTACGTGGCACTAATCCTTTGTTGGCGTGCGTATTCATTTTATTTACAACCAGCACCTGGCAAGGGCCCGGGGGTGGCCGTCCTGACGCAGAGTCTGACCACTCGCTCCGCCGGCCCCAGTGCGCAGGTTCGCGGGTGCATCCGCCGTTGGAAAGGAACGAGAAAAACGCCTGTTTAAAAATGACGGAAAAATTACGCGGGAAAGGACAGGAAGCGTCCGACCTACCCCGGCAAGCAGTCCCCGCAGACGGCGTCGCTGGTGGCGGAGCAGTTGGCCTTCTGGAAGCGGTTCACCCCGGCGCAGTCCAGGCACGGCTTGCACTTCTGAAAGCCCCAGTCGTCCTTGAACCTGTGCGGCCGGCAGGTCACACACTGAGCATCCTCCCCGTAGCCAAAGCCACATTCCTGCGGGGATTAACGGGGATGGAAAGCTATTCAGACACCGCAGGCGCGAAAAAGGAAAGACGCAGCCTGAAAGAAGACCTGCTCTGGTAATTGCCGAGGGCCCGCCGCCCCAGAGACAAAGGCGGCTCTCCTAGCAATTTCCAACGTGTCTCCCGCTGCTAATCATCTCTCTTACTATGACAAGTATACTTAGTCATCTGCTTTATTCACGGAGCGGAGAGCATTTGAATCATAAAGGCCCCCCCGCTGCCGCATTATTGCAGCGGCCCAGAATTACGGCAGTTTCCTCGGCTCTAATTAAGCCAGTCTTGGGAGTGTTCAGAAACTGAAGTTGGAGAAATGTTCAGACCAAAGTCAGTGAACGTTCATTATTCACTTATCGAGGCAGAAAATAAGTACTGCGGTATCAACAGGGGTATTTTAGGAAATGAAGTGAGCTCATAAGAAGTTTCAGAAGCTTACAAGTCTGGGAGTCCACCCAGCCGACAGCACCCTGAAACGTTTGGCAGCTTAACATTGTCTGAGGGTAGGAAGGTTCTTACGTATTTCTTAAAAACAACAACAACGCTACATTCTTGTCTGGATAAAGCTGTAGTACTAAAGGCCTTCGGCGTCCCCGGGGGCGGACGTCAGAACCCAGTGCTGCTCTCCAGGGATGGGCGAAACAAGTAGCTCTTTGACCCACATTATGACCCCTCCCACGAGTTGAGGCAACTTGCTGGTAGAGCAGGTCACGCAACGTAATTATAATGCCACCGTGAAAAGATTGAGGCAGGTGTGTGTTCATGATTGTTCAAAAAATAAGCTGTAACAACAGAATTAGACGTATGATCCCATTTCTTACGAAACATTGGGGATGAGTACTAACCCTCGCTGGGTGCATACTCTATGCCAGGAACTTTTTATTTTTTATTTATTTTATTTTTTAATCCTCACCCGAGGACACTTTCATTGATTTCAGGGAGGGAGGAAGGGGGCGAGGCAGAGAAGCGCACCCTGACCGGGGAACAAAGCCGCCCCTTTCGGCGCACAGGTCGGTGCTCCAACCGGCTGAGCCACAGGCCCGGGCTACGCCAGGAACTTCCTACACAGCAGCTCACTAATTCACACTCCGCCCCAGCGAGCTAAGCGCTATCATTGTTCCCGCTGCACGGCTGGCCGTCTGGGGTTCCCCGGAAGGTAGCACCTTATGCAGGGTGATACATTCGATAGCTAATGTTAGAACCAGGAACTGGGTCTACACGGTTTAATTCGAGAGTCAGACTTCACACCACTGCACTGCACGGGCTCTCCGGCACTTTATTGGACATCTACAGAGGAAGACGTCCGAAAGGTTGCGTACCAAACGTCAGCGCCGGTTATCATACTTTGTGATGGTCTCTATAGGACACGGGTTCATTAAAAAAAGGGAAAAAGCAGCTGCAGAGCGACAAGGAGGAGGCACACGCAGAGGGCAAGCCGAGCAAACGCGCAGACAAGGCTGGAGGCGGGAGAGACGCTCACCAAATACACCCTCCGGCGCCGGCCTCCCCACCACAAACCGCAGACGCCAGGGGCGCATCCCAGCGGGCTTGAAATTCCCGGTTTTTAATAAAATTCATATATTTTGATTTCTTCATCCATATTTATATACACCGTCAACTAAGCAATACTTATTGGCCAAATATTAAATCAAAACTAACACAAAGAAAAGTATTTCCTGTACTCAATAAACTACCCAATAGAGAACATTAACAATAACACTTCAGTGTAGATTTCTCTTTTTTTATTTTTGACTGAGGGACGCATCCACATTTCGGAGGAGCGACGCCCACCTCCTTCTGTCCGCCCTCCGGTCTCAAATGTGCGCCGGGGGCGCACTGCCAGGTGGGGGGAGGCACAGGGCAGGCCGCCGGCCCGGCCCGGGCGCTCCGCCGCAAGGCGCTCTGAGCCAAAGCTCAGACGGGCAGAGGGAAAAGCCAACCATTCGACCTGAAGAGCTACTTCACAAAATTGGAGTTTCTTTAAAACGGTTAATGGACATTAGTGGAATTACGAGTTATTCTCAATTTTTAAAATTCTGTAATAATTTGTGTATGTGTGTTGTGCAAAAGGCATCCAGTGTGTGTGCTCTGTCTGTGGGCAATACGGTTCTGTGTGGGGGCCGAAGTGCGTCCGCACTGAGCCTTTAGTTGCTAAGAGAGCCGAGCGCATCCAAAGGCTTTCTCTCCGTGTAGAAGCGGGGCTCCAGCCGGTAGCTCAGGGTCAAGGCATGCCCATGACTCCTGGGCGGTGGGGACCTCGCTGACCCCAGGCTCAGCGTCTGCACGTCAAAGATTCAAGCAAAGGCAATGTTTCAAACTCATGGTCTGATCCACGCAGCTTGGACCGTACGGTCTCATAGACAAGTTAAAACACAACGAGGAAGAGAAAAGGGACGCGTTGAAGGGAAAACAAAGGGAGAGAAAAGAGAAAGAGATGGAAGAGGCTGCATCAGCTGGAGTCCATGTCGGACGTTTTGTTTTCTAAGCCAGGCTGGCAGAGGAGGAGAAGGAATATGTATTTCCCTGCCTTGGAGCCAAAGTCACAGGAGTCTGAATGCCAACCCTGCCCCTTGTCAGCAAAGGCTTCTGGGGGATCTCTGAGCCTCAGTCTCTTTGTGCGTGGAGTGGGGATAATGACACCTGCCCTGCGTAGCTGTTTTGAGGAATAAGCCGGAAAACTTACTAAGCCTCTAAACTGTAAATGAAAACAAGCGATACCTACAGCTATAATTATTTTGGGGTTTCTACAACACAACAAACCAATGTTCCCTATTCAAGTATGATCACCAATGAACAGGGCATCTTCGGGCCCCAATTTTTTTTTTCTAGGTTACTTAACACATTACTTTCCATCTAAAACATTTTTACTGAATAAAAATTTTTGTGAAACGAACCGCCTTCTAGAGACGGGCACCTAAAATAGAACCTCACCTGGTCTGGTTGAACCAGCTGCCACCGGCGCTCCAGCACCAGCAACCAGGCCCCGCGGCGCGCACGGGTGGCGGAGCTGCTTCAACGCGCCTGCCAGGCAGCCCGCTGCCCCTTCTGGCCCGTCTCTGAGGACCCCCTGCCTCTCCCTCTCCGCGCCTAAGAACTACATTAAATGGCCCAAACAGAAATGCACCTGAAGAAACAGAAATGGGGGCTGCCGTGCTCTCGCCTCTTTTGGGAAGGATCACAGGCCGGAGTGCCGGGGGATCTGGCGGTTATTTGTGGGTGGCCTGCGCTCTGAGTCCATGTGGTGCATGGGACTATGGTCACCAACACGTACTTGCCACCGATCACCGTGTGCCATTACTAGTCATTATGTTTTATGGAATGAGGATGTCGTGGAAAAACATCAGGGTTCTATTCTACACTGGCCCAAAATCTTGTACAGAAAGAAGGGCCCCCATGCATGATGGTTTGCTTTTGCTGTCTGGGTGTCAACTTACTATGTCTGCTTAGAGTGTGTGTTTTGGTGACAACAGGCGTAACCTTTGTGGTGGATTTAGGTGAGGGGTTGGGTTGACTAAGGCTTTGTGTCAATTGCTACCACAAATAGTGCCACAATGGACTGAGCGTGCACTGTGAACTATACAGTCTGCTGGGAACTTTTATAGACGTTATTTGGAGGAATGTTATTGAAATATATTTTCTCTAACGTATGGGCCAATATAAAAAAGGCATGAGAAAGCCAGCCGACTATTTTTAAACTTTTAAAACTAATACAGTTTGCAGTCTACGACAGTCTAAGAAACTGATGAAGTGACCACCAGACATGTTACATTGACCAGAAACACTGAATTAATTGAAAATTAAGAGAAGTTATTTCCAAGAAATTAAAGTACAGTATAGTGTACACGGCAGCAGTCACTTAGAATGAGCTGTCTTGTTTCTACGGCACTAGAAACACAGAGACACTGTAATTATTGGAAATCCAGGCTAGAAATTAAACAGCATTGTGTATGTATTTTCAATCTGAGATGAGGACTCTGGATTTATAGAGCTGTAAGGGAGGGGGGTGGCGTCCCTAACCCCTGCATTGTTCAAGGGTCCACTGTACATTTTAAATTACCCACAGTAGAACTGTCTACTTTCAGGTTCTTATTTCATGCAGTAAAATTAGGTGGTTAAAACGCCTTGAAATCTTCCCGGCTAAGTTCAGTAAATCCCTACAAAGAGAAAAAGAAAGGAGGCTGGAGACCATTTCTTTCCCCTTCTCGTTTTCACTTTTTATATCCCGCGACATCCTCACCGACAAAACGTGATGACTAGTAAATGGCACACGATGATCGGTGCCAAGTACGTGTTGGTGACAACAGTCCCGTGTACCATGTGGACTCCAGAGTGCAGTCAGCCACCCCAAAGCTACTCTAACACGTGCGATGTTATTCTAACTCAAAAAATACACCTTCCTCCCTGTCCCTGGGGCCTGACTCCCTCCTTCCTCCCTGCAGCCGACAGCCGCCGCGACCATCTGCTGGGGTTCCCCCGCCAGACACCGCCCCGTCTGCACCCCTGCCCTGCAGCTAGCACCCCTGTTGCGTGCTCAGTGCACCCTGGAGGGTCCCTCAGACCCGCAGGCGGCGAGACCATGCCATCCTGGGGCTGCAGCCTCCTCGGCTCTGCAGGCCGTATCCTTGGCCACGGCGGGCGGCGGGGGCTGGGACAGAGGGAGCAGCATCAGCGCAGGCGAATCGCGCCCGCCCCGATCCCCGACCTGGCTGCGCACGTAATGAAAAGAGTATCCAATCTTTGGGGTTTTCTCGCCCGTTACTTTTGGACGGAACGGGGCCATTTCCTTAGGCGCACTGTGTCCTGGGGCCAGCTGTACACCGCACGTGGGGGGGAAAGGCATGAGAGCGCTGCGGTGAAACGCAGCAGAAGACTGGAGGCAGGGAGGCCCTCGGGCTTAGCCTTCCGCGGCGCGGCCCTCTGCTGGGCCAGACTCAACGGGCGCCTCCGAGCCGTGTCCAGCGAGGCCCCTGCCGAGGC